TCCCTGTTTGATTCTTTGACTAACTCTTGCTTCTGTGAACACCCCAATCCGGCTGGACTACTGAACAATGTGGTCTGGAAAACCCTTTCATTTTACTCCTTTTACTGTTATGTTGTTCATGAAGCATATATCTAAGTTGAACGCCTAGGTGAGCGAACAGGTATAGATGTTTTATGTACGCAAGTGACATCCTGTCTAAAACATCAGTCAGGCTTCAGAAAGCAACATAGCACCATCACTTGCTCCTACAGGAACAAGTCCTGTTTCTCGCTTGAAGCCAGGAAAAGGCTAGTCACTGTGACCTTTTTACCTTTGCTGGACTATGGTGATTTGATTTATATGAATGCACCTGCCAATTGCCTGGTCAAGTTAGATGCTGCGTATCACAGCGCACTGAGATTTGTGACAAACTGTAAAGCATTAACCCATCACTGTACCCTGTAGGCAAGGGCTGGTTTGCCTTCGCTAACTGTACGGAGGCTCAGTCACTGGTACATTTTTATATTCAAAGCCATGTTAGGGAAACTTCCATCCTACATCTGCTCCCTGATCTCACGACGAATTGTAAGTAGCTACTGCCTGAGATCGCATGCTGTAGTTTTATTAAATGTGCCAACTGCTAGGACTGTCTTAGGGAAGATAGCTTTTAGATGCGCAGCTCCACTGTCTTGGAATAGTCTGCAATTGAAATTGAAACTGAGCAATCTGGTGCCACTAAATGTTTTTAAAGCTCGGTTGGATGCTACTCAATCGGAAGCTGTTGGTACCTGCTCATGTGGATAGTTATGTAAATGGTAAACCCTGTAATGATGCTGTATGATGTCCTTTTTGTTGTTCTGTTTATGTTTTTATGTTTCATGTGGAACCTACTTGAGCAGGTCTCCCTTGAAAAAGAGATCAATGATCTCAATGGGATACACCTGGGTAAATAAAGGTTTGAAATGAAATGAAAGTGTAGTACGTAACTCACTGATATATGCTATGTAGTCTTTTCAGATATTTTTGACATACTATATAGTTTTTTAGATTTCTTCGACATTTTATATTATGATTGTTTTTCAAAATACTATTCACTGAGAATACACTTAACAATGCCATTACTTTTTATGTATTTTTTGACATACTATACCATGATTTTTGTTCAATACAATGACTTTTTTCATATTTTCATTATACTCTAATCTTTTCATGATATTTTCAAGATACCATACTTTGATTTTTTTCGACGTACAATACAATGACTTTTCTTTCCGACATACTATGCTATGTTGTTTTTTCTGAAATGTTCGAGATACTATAGGCCTACTATGACTTTTCTTTCAAAATACTAAACACTGACTGTTTTCTCATATTTTTGACATAGTATACTATTTCTTTTTTTCTAATATTTTAGATATACTATGATAAGACTTTTATTCGAGGTACTATACTTTGACTTTTATTTGAAATTAGTATAAACTGACTGATATCCGCTATGTAGTTATTTATGATTTCTTCCACATTTTGAACTATGACTTATTTATATTTAAGTACTCGACATACAGAACATGTCATTTTTAATATATACTAAGTATAATAACTATAATAATAATAATAATATAATAATATAGTATAGTTATAATAATAACTAAGATTATACTAAGTTGTTGTTTTTTGGGATACTATACTATGAATTTTTCAACAAACTACATTACTTTTTTATAATCTTTATATAGATACTACATGATGTCTTTTCTTCATATCTTTGCATATAGTATACTATATTCTTTATAGTCATGACGAATAATGACTTTCTTCAACATACTACATATATGCTGAGCCCCAGACGCCCCCCTCACATGTAAATATCACCCATGTGTGAGATCTGTTGTTTCTAAATGTTTTGTTTCTACTTTAAATTAATCAAAACATATTAAAAACTAATATAGCCTCGGGACAAAATGGAGCACAGACCAAATCATTTTTTAAATATTTATTCAAAATCAAGACAGTACAAAGACGGTACAAATGTTACTTCAAAGGACCAGGCAAGTGTTATTTATACTGAAGATATATACTGTTTATCTTCAAGATATTTAAAATGAAAGATATAGTCAGACACAAGGTATGGGTTACAGCAATTAAATGTATTTTATTTGCCTACATTTGAAGGCATTGAAGAGAAACATGGAAAGTAATACCTAAATGTTCAACATAGACTTTTTATTTCTATATCTATATATATACAAAAGAAATGCCCAAGCATGTTATGTACATAGTTATCTATTCTTAAAAATCTTGCGAAGTTGGATGGTTTCATTTTTACGATTTACTTGTATGTTATGTATTGCTGCAAAATACAACAGAGACATGTTTGTATCTTGTCATATATGCATATGTACATTTCAAATGTCATTGATATAAAAGCATTTTTCTAGAATTACACACTCAAAAGAATAACATTACATTGTTAGCTGTTTACTTTGAAAACCTACAGTGGCACATTGTAATCATACATACATAGCAACCTCTCAGCTTTCAGACAGCTGATGTAAAACAGTTAAAACATGAACTAACAGGTCATTTAGCACTTAATAAGAAGCAGTGTCATTTCTGACCGTGTCGTTCAGCTGCACGCTCTAGTGAGCAAGAAAAAAAAATGTTCAAGGATTTTTTCAGTTAAATCCTAAATCTGTGTTTAAAACACAATCAATTCATCTTTTCAGAGAGAGATGCAACTAATGTATACAGATTGAGTCTAAGTAATCCTCTTCCTGGTGCTTCTTACTGTTGAGACGATTAAATCTTCCTCAAGATGGCAGTGTGGTGAGTTATGTCCCACTACCAGACACACACTACAGCTCTCTTGAGACTGATGATGCCCACTTGTTTAATACCTCATCTCAAGACGTAAATATCTGTAAATCTTCTTGTTACACTTCTCTTACCATTCAGTCATGAATGATCTACAGGTAGGCCCGCCCTAATAGATCATCACATGCCGGAGACAACTTCCGGGCAGTAGAGAGTGACAGTAGTTACAGCACCTCAAACTGGGCGCTTGTTTGACAAAGTTAATAATTACTTTGGTTGCTCTCAACTATTTTCTGCTCAAGCCTCATTTTAAGTTCTGACACCAAAGCAGAGCTGAAATTTCCCTCTTTGAGCTGGCAATATTTCGCTTTTTTCATGGAGCCTTTCGACGCCAGCACACCAGATACTGTCGGGACCGCCCAAGGCCTCTCATTGGACCGTGTGTTACACGGGGGCGGAGGAGCGCAGGGGGGTGGAGGCCTCAGTCGGGGGCTGTTGGTTTTTCTATCTTGGTTGACTATGAGCAACTCATCAGGGTTATTGAATTTGACAACAGGTGATTTGAAGATCCAGGGCTTCTGGTTCCTGGTTCGCCTCTTAATGATGCGTCGTGCTGGCAGGATCCTGTTTGACTTTAAGTTGCGCATGAACATAACTGTAGAGATCAAGACAGTCACCCCTACCATTAAGCTAATGACAACAATTACCATGCCTAGAGCTCTCATTGGATTGTCCCTACTTTTCATTAAAAAGGCCGCCATAGGCCCCTTGAGAGGAGTCTGTGAAAGAGCAAAATAAAACAAATGTTTTAATCAAGTCCAAAGGACAGAATCCAAGCGTTAACTGAGCATTTGTTCAAAGCATGCAAGCATGAGATGGATGCGCAAAGCACTGACAGAGGAAGACCAAACAACAAGTCTATCAACAAAGTGATGCTCCCAAACTCACCCCTGTCTTCCTCCTGTCCTCAGCACAGGACGGCTAGTGCAGAGCTAACTATGCTAACACTAGGTGTTGGGAATGCGTCTGGCAGTGCGATGCATTAGGGTTTCTCTTTGGCATGTGACGTATGAGGGTTGAGTAAGAATGATAACAGCTCATGAGGTCAGAATGAAATGAAGTGCATGTTTGTTTGAGACAAATGGACATAGAATCCAGGATTAAATCCAAAGAAAAGAGCTCGTCTTTGTCACTTGAAAAGCCTTAGAGTCTGAGTCATGCACAAGAAAAAACATTTTAAACAATTGTGTAAAAATCTAATTTCCCATCAATTTGGAATATTTATCCAAAAAAAAACTATTAAAAAAAGTGAAAGAAAAAAAAAGTTTATTGTTGTATTAATCCTTCAAAAACGCTCCAGTACTCCTTTACACAACATAACCGATAACAAATATATAGCTATCTTAAAGCTTTCATATATCCTATCACTTGGTTCTGCGCACCACTTTGATATAGCTACTCTCTGGGTTGATTCTGGATCGTTTCACTGAGTCACAGTACAGGATTGTGGATATGCAGGTTGTTAGTAAAATGAGGGAAGTGACAAAGCTGAGACAAATTCCAAAAACAGTCAGCGGACGCTTGCTGAGGCCCATGAAGTATGAAATAACTCGGCCTTTGATCTGAAAAGCACGATACAGAAAACAGAAACAACACCAAAGACAGGGAGTCATCCATCATGCAGAGTGAAGGAATGGTAACAACATAAAGTAATGTATGGAATAATGTAAATGACTGAACTAGTTAAAGGATAATGCTGCTGTTGTATTATATTTCATAATTCTTTGATATTTTTCACACAATTCATTGTTGGTTTTGGTCTCTTCGTAGGACTTGATTCTAATTATCAGCATTTTCCTTTAAAGAATATGAGACCAATGAAGGATGATTGGCTGAAACAAGGATGATGAAATAGCATCTGTGTAGCATGACAACAAAGCCTATTACCATATGTTAAACTGCTGAATCTACAGCTCAAGCTGCCTAAAGCTTGCAGTAGAAAGCGCTGTTAGCATGCTGCGCGTCAGAACCAGCCTTACCGCCTCAGTGATATCGATGTTGACAACGGTCGTTGTGCTGAAGGATGGAGAGCCTCGGTCCCTGGCCTGGACCACCAGAGACCACTTGCAGTCCTTCTGCTTGGTGATGTTCTGCACAATCTCCATGGACTTGATGTACGGCTTCAGCTGGATCTCTCCTGTGTCTGCATTGATGTCAAACGCGTTGTCGGGATCTGCCATCATGATGGAGTACTCGATGACGTTGTTCGGAGACTCTGCATCTTCATCCACTGCCTAGAGAAAGTAGGAGAAATAACTTTAAATTGTTGGCTGCCAACAAATCAATGTACTTAATGGAAATGTGTTTTGCAAATCACAAAGCAAGCATACAAGAGTATTGTGATGAAGGTGATGTACAGTGCATTTCATAAGGACATATACAGGAGTCCTTCATTTAAAATGAATACATTTTAAGACCTTTTTTAAGACCATTTCCATACATTTTAAGAACACTTTACCACTTTAAATACTAACCAATCACATACGCTATACACTTAACTTACACTTATATATGATAACCTACTTGTATTAACCAGTCAAAACAACATACAACAATACAAAAAATAATAATTGTGAATGCCATAAAAAAGTCACATGAAGTCATATTATAGACATAGTATACCAAAAATGGCATACATGTAGTATAAATAACATGAAGGTCTCATAGTTAAGTACAATTGCTAATCCATGACATCAAAAGGTAACTGTTCATTAAAATCAGTCCTTTCAATGTAATTTTTGTATTATTTAGCTTTAAAGTTGGCACTCTTGGATGTCAGCAGGACCACAAACAGCTAGTGCCTTATCGATGACGAGTAAAAGGGGGAAATGCTTTGACATGATGTACCTCCACTTTGACTGGTGTACCAATTATCATGGTCTTTTCCAGGAGTCTTTCATCAAACGATGGAGAGTGGTCGTTTATGTCGAGCACCGTGACAAAGGTTTCCGCCAAGCTGTACTTCCCCTCCGAATCTTCAGCCTTGACGTAGAAGTTGTATTTGGACCTGACCTCTGCGTCCAGGCTGGTCCAGGGCTGCGTGGAGATGAGGCCTGTCGCCGGGTGGATGGAGAACCTGCAGGATCAGAGACGTTCAGACAGTGTATGAGTCATTCTGAGTCAAACACGAGCCAGGTGTTAGCTAAGGCGTCTCAAAATTCACATCAGATGACATCGTGTGAAGCTCCACATGACTCACTTTCAAAGTACGATAAAAAAAAGCAGATCCTTTCTCGCAGGAAACATGTTGTCAAAACATCCCCAATCCTCATAGAAATCATGAATACACAGTGAATTATTATCCTCTAATGTGTCTAAGGTTGTTTATAGCTTATGAATGTTATATTTAAAATTCCTTCATTTCCTTCAAATGATTCATTATAATGAGTTACATTTATTTGTATGTTTTCTTTGTCTGTTGGACATGATCCTTTAACATGTGACTTCCCTCTCTAATGATCAAAAAAATCTATAGGAATAAAGATTGACACTATCTCCGACAATAATGTTGTGTTTCGTTGTCCTGAATATGTAGTATTTTGCCAACAATAGATAATCAATCACATAACATATGCATGTACAGTACTGGCTTAGGTTTGTGTTTTCGGAGAGCTATCTTATTCAACACCAGGCTTAATGCCATTTCCTTCAGTCACTTTTTCTGTCTAATTTTCCACTGTGAAAAATCACAAGTTGCCTCGAAACTGATAACTTTCACACAATTAATTTAACTCGCCTGCAGAGGAGCATAAATTCTCACTTTCCTTGCTGCATGCTGCCGCTGATGTAGCTCCAGCTGTCACCTTGCATGTTAATTGGCTCTCTCTTTATGAGACAGAGCAGGCTGCCTATTTTTAACCCGCCAATCCAATTAGGAGATTAGCCAGCATCTTGAAGCCATTTTAGAGTGAGCTGTTAGTGCTGCAGAGTGGCCAATCAAACTGTTTCCCTGCTTACCTCTTCTTTCAAAACAACAACGATGAGTCAAGACCGCGTGTCCTGCTGGCCGAGCTTACAAAACACCAGCAGTATTGAGTTGTATATACATTAAAAAAACAACTTTTAAGTCCTTGAAATGTGCTTTGCGGAAGTGCAAGAGTTAAATATCCGATCAGATCAAACCTAAACTGGCAGAAGTGACAGGTTTTCACTTACAAATCTGATCCTGATCCATAAATCGTGTATTTGACTTCACCCCAGGGCCCTGAATCTGGATCATTTGCCTGTTGGACAGGACAGAACAGAGATTAAAAAACAAATACTTATGGCACATTTAGTATATAAAGAAAACTGCACGTATGTTACATAATAATCGAATGAAAATGTATTCAAATTATCTAAATTGGGAAGAAAAAACTTAAACCAAGGTGACTGAAGGTTGTTCAGTTAATGTTCATTTGAATGCTGCTGGCTGAGGATAAACAGCTAGGGTCTTAAGCTCATGCGGGGGGGTGGGGCACACTATAAATCGCTTCCTGTGGTGGGCGGGGAGGGAGGTATAGGTCAGCATGATTAACCTTGAGGCAAAATTAAGCCTTTGACATGTCGCCTGGTTGCAGTATAATGGAAAGGAAGAGACACGTGTGCCAATACTTCCGTAAATAAACCGTCTGCCAACAACCTGCTTTCATCTAATGAACTGCATCGAGTAACATGCATGTATTGGAGCATGATGGGTTATGTAATCACTTTGTTCAGGTTGAATCAGAGTGTAATTGTGATTGACTCACTGTCACAGACACAACGCTGGAGCCTCCAGGTGAGTTCTCAGCGACTCTGGTGATGTAATACTCGGACGTGAATTTGGGGACGTTGTCGTTGGTGTCCAGCAGGTTGATTACTATGTCAGCTGTTGCACTGAACCGCTCAGGCGTGTCGATCTCCACCGCTAGCAGCTGCAGAGAAACATATGCAGAGTGGGAATAAATCAGTGCTGAAATCTAATTGATCAATTTGATTGTTGACACATAAAACTTGCAGTTCTGTGATGCTGAAAGGCTCATATAACAAACTTAGATATTCCTTTTTGTTTTCAACATTTAAGGGTGATGTCAGAATCAAAAAATAATTCCCACACAAATATTTCACTAATAATCGCAGATGCTTTGCTACCATAATAAAAAAAAGTCTTAGTGGCTTGTTATTGTTTTAAAATGAACAGCTAACCACTCTGATAATTCATACTTATTTATGAAGCTGGAAGCTATCAAACTGTACACCCTTCTTTATGAACATCATTGGGTTAGGTGGATGTTGTTCAGAGAAAACTGTCAATTTGAAGACATAATCTTTGGCTTTAAGCAAAGGAACTAATCAATTGAAAATACAGCCATAAGACTTAAAAGAGGGGCAGATAAAAATGAGCTGCACTCACAGAATAAACATTTGTTCAATAATACATTATGTGGTCATATATAAAGTCAAACCTTGAAAGAAAGGGTTGGTCCCTTTTCATAGTCGATGCCAGATGTGTCTTCCACAATGATGGTCACCTGCGCTTCATTGAGGACCGTCTGGGGAACGACTCGCAGCACTCGACTCGGCCCCACCAGCCTCAGTCTGAACTTAGCGTTAGCTCCCTACAAAGGGAGTTAGACAGGAAGAATTTAAAAACCTTGAAGAGCAAAATCAATATAGAAGATTCACCAGACCTAAGAGGATTTCAGCAAACATTGGTGGTGAAAGAAAGTGAACAATTTGAGCAGAAGTCATACAATTAGTTGAAGTACAGCAGGAACACACAGACCAATAGATCCAGAGGAAGGATTTCAATAAATCCTAAGGGAAATTTGGGTAAACATTTACCTGATCTGAGTCATTGACAGTGATCTTGAAGCCTCGGAGGATCTCCCCTGCAGGAGGATGCTCGTACATGGTGACCTCAAACTTTATCTGAGGTCCGTTCTCTCCATAAAAAGTCGGAGGATGGTTGTTGAGATCCACCACCCGGACCGTCACCATGGTAACGTCATATTCCTGAAGTCGATTGTCTGGTCCTAACTCAGACGCCTAGGTTTAAAAAAGTTAAATGCATTTAGTACTAATAAGAGTAGATTCAATTAATTTAAGGTGTTTCACTTAAAAAATGTTTACCTTGACTATTATTTCATATAATTCCTTTGACAGTAGATTTGGATTAGTTGTCAGGGTGATGCATCCACTGGTGCTGTTTATGTCGAAGACACTATCACTGCCTGAAAGGTGATAACAGACATCTTGTTAATAATGTGTCTGATAAAAAGACTGAAAAGAGAAGGGAAGATCGTTTTTCTAATGTATTGTTCTAACCGTTCATAATGGAATAATGTATCGGATTCGGGTTGCCTTGATCTCCATCTTTAGCGTACACAGTGAAAATCTCAGAACCCTGGAAGAAAGAATATTTATTAGTTTTATTTACTAAATCAACGCCCCGATTCTCATCACTGGCGTGTGATGAATATGAGAAAAACTCACAGCAATTGAGACTTCGTAGACGTAGCCAAAGTAAGGGGTTCCTACGAAGGACGGAGGCATGTCCTGCACATCGAGCACATTGATGGTCATGGTGGCAGTGGAGGTCAAAACCTGGTGCTTCCCCTTGTACTTTCCCCCTCCATCCTGATACGACAAACAGTGAGAAAGAATACAAAGTGTATAATGTTTCTAGTAGATTTTGGATTGTTCTTTTAACCAAGGCAAATTAGAATACAGAATAATCAACATGCACAATGTTAGATTGAACTTTTATGTGATCTCCGTACGTAATATGAGGTATTGAAGTATTTTTGGGATAAATTATATATAGAGGGTTTGTTTTACATGATTGTATTTCCCCATTTTTTTATTCTGAAATTCTATGATTACAAGCCTCCAAAAGTAAATAGATGTTTAGCATGAAATGGTTGGTTTTTCTTGGCTATTACAAATTACAATTAACACCACCAGCACTACACAAACAACAATGGATGCAGACACTAATTTTTCTGCTAGGACAAAATGCGGCATTGTGTTTTATTAATTATATGTTAAACTGACTATATTGATGTATTTGATTGCTTTATCGACATTAAATATTTAGATATTTTATCATAGGTTTAACCTCTTAGTAACTGATTTGTAATCTATTAAGCTTTATTTAAAAAGTTGCCTATGTTATTCCACACACAGTGGAGTTAAGGCTAGAACAATAACCAGTGTTTGACTTCTAGCAATGGAGGGATCACATGTCAGGTCACTCACACTGGGAGCCCTACCACTTCACAAGACTTCCATTTATTTCACATACTGACACTGTTGCAATTCAGCAAAATGTTGGAGAAAGCTTGGTGGTGACTGCACTTTCCATGACCTTAGGCTCCCAACCGAGCTGCTTTTACTTTCCTGCCAATAGTTTAATGTGCAAAACACTGCAGAGGTTAATCTCAGCCCATTTCAACATGTTGGTTTTCAGATTAAACTTGTTTAAAGAAAAGCTCTCGGAGAAATTGTGTTGGTGTCATTGATAAACTCTTCATCCCTTTTCCCTACTTGATGTTGATTTAGAAAAAGACTAACCAACAACATAGATGAATATAAAAGTTCTTGCTCATCCAAGCTGCTGCTCACAGTGTAAACATGTTTTTAGGGAGTCATACGTGACCTCTCACCTTTGCAACCACGGTCACAAAGTGCGTGGGCGTGTTTTCGTAATCCAAAGTCTCCCCAGGTTTGACTCTCAGGACCCCGCTGTGCCCGTCGATGGTAAACTTGGCAACAGCTGAGCTCTGATGATGTATAAAGCCGCATAGTTAGCAGTGTTAACAGTAGACAGTACATTTTCAACTGAATTTAGCAATCTAGCTAATTATTCTGCTTGCTTTTAACCAGTTTTAACCCTTGACCTACCTCCTTTCAACCTTGACTTTTTTTACACACTTTTGACACATGAACAGTAACAATTACTGTGCTTACCAATGTTGGCACGAACCAAACTTAAGCCCCTATTAAGCCTTCAGTGCCTTGCTCAAATGTAATTGAAAATTAATCCACTAAAGTAAAACCATTTCCAGACTGCTCTGGTATGAGATTAATCTTTCCCGGCACACACTGCCTCGTCATTCGAGTGCCCTTTTCCTCCCTCCACATGGCAGCACAGCCCTCATGATGTCAGCTCGACCTGCTGTCTCACCCACAAGTGTTAGGGCCACAGCAGGCCAGTTATCAGTATCACTGTGTAGATAATAATTGTGCGTGGAGAGGGAATCAAACGGTAGAAAAACAGCAATACAAAATAAGTGTGAAAGAAATGCTGGCTCATGCTTTCAAATATGAGAGCTGAGGGGATTAACTTGTTGGCAGACTTCAAAGAGCATCCTGGGGTATAGGAGTAGAGAAATCCGGAGATGCAGGCTAGAGCCGCATCTCTATACTTTATGTCATTAGACAAATCTTACAATCAACTCAGAAATGAACTTGAGGCCATGTGCATGGAGGGAAAAACACGACAATTTCCACTAATGTATTGCTCTAAACGCTTGCCTGCTTCATTTTGAAAGACATGTTTCCACTTAATACCAGAGTATGATGCTGTAGATGGAATAGTCTGAGCAAAACAAAATAAAAGCATGACCTATATGGAAATATTTCAATGTCATGATACTGTAACACTTTAGTGCTTCAATTTTCGCACTAAGCTTCTACTGTCTTAATGACACTTTAGACAAACAAACCAGAACAGATTGTTTTAAGTCAGTAGCAACATTTTCCCATTTAGCACTCCATTTTAGCAAGGCACAACCGTGCATCATCTGCATAAAAACACAGCTGTAGGTTTACCTGTAGGTAATAAGAGACGCTGCCTCCTGAGCCCATATCTCTATCCACTGCTTGGACTCTGTAGATGCTGCTCCCAGCTGCAGTGTCCTAGGGAAGAGACAAGAGATTTTATAAAAACAAACTTGATTCTCAATGGTTTGTTCAACTCACTTTGTGGTTTGTGCCACAGAAAGACATGTAGAAAGGATTCATTGTGTGTATTGTGTTGTCTCGGGTGTGTTTATTCGATATATGCTGTACCTCTGGGATGTTGATGATGAAAGGCAGGTTTTGAAATTCAGGTGGTTCATCATTTGCATCAGTTACAAACACTCTAACTGTCTCAACAACCTGAAAGTAAAGTAAAACATGATTTAAAAAAGTTCGTTTTTATTACGCTAAACATGTTACATTTTAGAGAGAAATAATGAACTCAAAGATCAGAAAACAATCATTCTACACATTTAAATAGATTATTTCCTTAAAAAGACTGTAAACATGGCAGGTTCCTTCTATCACAGCACATATGTTTTCAGAGCATATAGCCTTTTAACAGAAATGTATCACAAAACATAAAAAACGTACTTTATTGCGCCCGTCTGTTATGCTCACGAGCACTGAGACCTCATCTTGTGCCTACAAAGAAAAGATGAACATCACTTTGAGCCTCAGTGGGGACATATTTAGAGCAGGTCTCTTCAAAACAAGTGACTTATCAACATTCCCACCTCTCTGTCGAGCTCCTGAACTAGAGTCACGTTTCCTGACTTGGACTCCACCCTAAAATATTCTTTGGAGCCCTTCTCAAAAGTCAGACCATATTGCACCGGATCGTCCTCTGGATCTGTGCCATTCAGAACGTATATCTGTGTCCCTATGTGGGGAAAACGGCAAAGAAACAGCGATGACAAACAAAAACATGACATTTATTTCTTCATTCAAATCATGCAAATCCTTTGTTTCCATTCTTATGCGGTGTAAATGGCACGTCTAATAATAAGATCAGATGATGCCACACTTGTTTTTAGCCAGAAAGTGTTGATGTACGTCACGATCACAACAGGGATCCACTGGCACATCAATACCAATGTGATAATGAATGCGTTCACCTACGCATATAAATATTACACCGTTAAACATTGCCTCACACCGAAATGAACCAGAACTGTGATATTTAAAATGAGACTCACCAACTGGTGTATCCTCAGAGATGCTGAACAAGGCCATGTTCCCATGTGTACTGCTGGGTCCATAATCATAGAAATGTGGAGCATAGTCCAATTGCCCTTTAAAAAAAAACATACATTAACATGCAAGTTAATTGTGCAGAAGCAACTCCATATACTTTATGGCGATATATTTGTTCAATTTCCTATATAAATGCTTATGTAATCAACACATAACTGTTGCACTCACTTGCTACAAAGGGCAGGAACCGAAAGCAGGGAGAAGGAGGAGGAAGGGGGGCATGATTGAATGCATATATTTGTATTTAATGTTACCACTATCACAACAAAGGCCTAGCAGCATGAGCAGTCCCCACTAAGAGGGACGTGCCCTCTTAGTGTTACAGGATTAACCAGATAAGAGCAAGGCAAGAAGTCTTAACCATACAAAGAAAACACACAAAAAAGAGCCTTACCCAAAGTGGAGTCAAGCAGGAGGAGAAACAGTAAAGCATGCGTGTTCCTTTCTTTCTTCATCCTGGTGGGGAGGCAAGGCTTGGCTGGCTCATGTGGAAGGCTTGGCTGGAGGTGAAGCGAGCAGCGAGCTGTCGTGCCCTTTCTGAAGGCGTCTCAGCAGCTCAGGAGGAAGAGGCTGGGGCAGATTCTCAGGCACTAATCCAGTGACGCATCCCTTCCCTCCTTTTCCACCACACTGCTCTCTCTCTCCGTTTTCTCCTGAAGAACTACTTGTCGAGGGGAGAGAGTTCACACAATGTGGTGTGATCATCACACCTCAGCGTGATGGGAAAATGTACATGAAGCACGGCCTCTTTGATCGCCTAGAAATCAACGTTATGATATAACATACAAAGACGGAGGTTCTGAGTACAGTATGTTCTGGAGTTTACACATTGGGCACCTCAAACGTCCTTTCCGTCTAGTGTTTCTCTTTGTTGATGGTACAGACACGTGGCACATTTGGCTTCTCTTGCTGTTGTTTAAGGGTTTCAACAAGTCATTGGTCACACACTTCAAAACCCAGCTGCCCGCTTGCTCACTTCCACCCGACGCTCCGACCACATCACCCCTATCCTCCATGACCTCCACTGGCTCCCCATCAAACACCGCATTGCCTTTAAAATATTACTTTTCACTTTCAAAGCCCTCAACAACCTTGCCCCCCCCCTACCTCTGTGACCTCATCCAACGACGCACCCCCACCCGTCGCCTCAGGTCTGCTGAAGCTAACCTACTGCAGCCCATCAGGACAAAGCTCCGGACCTGGGGTGACAGGGCCTTCGCAGCAGCCTCCCCCACACTCTGGAANTGGCCAAAATCTGATCAGCTAATTTTCAGACAGGTTTTTATATAAATGGATCAGGACAAAAAGTGAGCTAATCTTTTTTCTTGAAACTTTCAGAATCTCTTTACACAGAGGGGACACATTTTGATGTAGAAGAGACACGAAAAAGTGGATTTTGCATAATAGGGGACCTTTAAAAACGGAGTTGCAAGCATCCTTCATACGTTGACAGAACACAGAAGATGTTTGACACTTAGCACTATTGAGAGAAATCCACCTGGTATGAATCCCTTACAGCTTATGCAGATCATAACTAAAACATTGTTCTCAATCTCAAAGACAAACAGGCCAAAGATGAACAGCTAATCTGATAAACAAAAAAAAACTAAATTGGGGCAGATGTTTTTATGTTACAAGCTTATCTGACGATGGCACACAGCCTTACATCTTTTATTTTTCGAATATAATTTTCCACTTTTTTCCTCAAAACCCAACCTCACATCCGCTCATGGGAAGGTGTCAAAGAGTGCATGTCTACCTGACTGTGTCAGCGTGGTGTGTTAACTGCGTAGGAGTACTCACAGACTTATGCACTTCCTACTTTCACAGGTATAAAAATAGTGTGTGACGTTTACACACACACTCTCGCATCGTACTGGTGGGCAGCCAATGGCAGATCTCTGATCACTAAAATAAACACAGAATCCATGCTCTGTGTTTACAGCAAAGTTTGCCAGTGCACAAAGAAGAATCCATGTTATTGGATGTAAAGATTTTCAGGAAGTAAAAACATATATGAAAGAAATATTAGTAAATCTTGATTTAAAGATTCAAAATTAATATTTAGGTAAAACGACAGATGTATTATCTGAAATGCACTTTGAATAAATAGCACAAGTTCACAATACGCAGGCTGTATTCATTTATTTTGTAATTGGAATATTATAACAGATTCATTAACAAGAATCCTTTCAATGTTGTTTTGTCAATGTTGAGCTCATTTGAAACACTTCCCATACTATTAATTGTTTTTATTTGTAAGAATAGATATTTCGTTTTTTTGTACCGGGAAAGTCTGAATTTGCAAAGAATAACTAAACTGTAGCTGAAAGATAAATGTAACGCAATACAAAAGTAAAATGTTCTGCCTAAAAGTAGTTAAGACATTTATTTTTTAAAGTATATCATTTAAAATAATATGATATCATGTAGGTTTTATATCACATTACATCAATGTATATTTAGTCAATTAAAATTAAGTTTATTTATTATTATTAAAGTAACATACAGTAAACTCTCTTCTGTGTAAGTGCAAATCAGCACAACAAGGAACAACAGGGGATAATAGGAAAGTCCGTAGTTATATTTTGTCAAAAATCAAGGATTTGGCCATATTTAAATCATGACTTGTCTGAAGCATAATCCCCTAGGGACTATGAATGTTGCAAAAAATGTGGCACGGACCACCTTAAAAGACGAAATATTTTAAAACATTTGTGAAAACGTTCACCATGAATGTCTGTTCTAAATTTCCAGCGATCCATTGGATAGTCTGTGTTTTGTCTATTTAGGAAATGAAAACATTCTAGGCATTGTTCATGTAATAATGGAAGACAGTGCTTGTACAGTCCCCCGCCCCCCTTAAGCATAACGAGCATTGGACCCTTACCAAATATTGGTCATCAATCTGAAAATGACTGCCAGAGCGCATCTTTTATCCCCAGTAATGCCAGAGCTCCACAAGCTGGAGCTTTTCCCAATCTCATCCATTATTGCCCTCTTCAGCCCTCCCATCTGCAGGCTTTTCGATATGCAGTACATGTGAATCATACGTGTCCTAAACGTGAACATGATCTGAGAGATTGAAACACCCCGAGCAGCTGTGTGCTCCACGTGTACGGGCTTTAGCGAAGCACCTGCATATTTACAGATGTTAGCATCTGTTCCAAGTGCCCTGGTTTGGAGGTTTAATTTGAGAGGAGCGGCCAGATGGTGGACAAGAGGATTACTATGCTAAGCCTTTGTCATCTGCTGCTACACACTGCCTGTCTATAGGAAAAGACAAGGTGGACCCCCGCTGGTCCCTCTTTGTCTGATTAAAGCTGGGTGTGGATGACAAATTGTAAAATATGTAAGTTTTGGCACTATGACCATTTTTCAGACATAGTGTTTTATGACTTTAATGGCAAACTATGATCTTTTTTAATACATGCTAAGCTATGACAGTTATTTAAAAAACACCTATATGGGGACTTTCTATGACATTTCCTTATGGCACTTTTCCATTTGATTTTTTACAGTAAACTATGCTATGACAGTTATGAAGACTTCTTATGACAAAGGGCTACACTACTGATACATTTATATTACAAATAAACAATTATTCTAATAATCATTGTAATACAACATGCAGTGCTTTAACTTTTTTAATGGTTTTCTATGTATTATGGAAGTGTTTTATTTATGTTTCCTAGCAAGCTGTGACTCTGTGATGGTGAGCCAGCATGCACACTACCAGGACCATGAAACTGGAGCAGCTTAATATAATTCAGTCTGACAAAAATACATCACTTTAGACATGTTTATTGATTGATTCCATTGTTGAAATGACTGTACAATGTCAGAAATATATGGACTAGTGCCAACCTCTTGAACGCACAACAGAAATGCAAAATCAGTGTATAGTGGAGCGAGTCGGGACCGGTCTATGTGTTGTATTTTGTTAGCATACACCATATATTTTTGAACTTTCATTCTTGTTGGAAACAGAAACACCACTCAGTTGAAATAAATACAGAACATAAAGAATACAAAGGACATCAGAAGCTGAAGAGAGGATGCAGACAAGAAAGACTTAACCATCTGTAACCCCCTGAATTAACCAGATACTTCCACAATCTAGGTTAGAGTGTGTTATCAATGCACAACCATTTCTCTTCTTTGCACCAGAGTACAATTCTCTTCTTCGCACTCTTTCAAAGCATGGATGTATTGTTCCCAGTTAGATAAGACGTGTCACTAAGAGATAACATCTGGTGTATGCTGCTAGTAATAAAATATGATTTTGATCAACTTTGTAAAGGGTCAAACTGAAATCAGAATGCAGCTGTTTACTTCTTCCTGCTGCCGCCAGACAGAATCATCACCATCCTCATGAAGATGTTCAGTGTGTCCATGTAGATCCCCATACACCTGTGAGATTAAACATAATATGAGAGAAATACCTTAGTGAGAGCTCATGGCTAAAATTCTGCTTGAACCCACGTATATTTTCTGTGATGACTTACGCGTTGATGGGGTCATATTTCTGGACGCCGTACAGCGGGTGTGTCTCTGCTCTCTTGATGACCTTCTGCGTGTCGTACAGGAGGAACATGCTGAACAGGACCAGGCCTCCGTAGATGGCCACTGAGTACAGGCCTGCTCCCATTGCTGAGGTGGGCGGCAGGAACATTGATCCTGGAGAAGACAGGGAGATTCGCTGTGAGACTGACACGTAGAGTTTCAAAATGGTAGCAAACAGATATCAATAATTAATGAGCTTATTATCCAATCCTATTATGGGGTTAAGTAACTGATATATCAGATACATTCCTACAGTTTCTGTAAAAGATACGTTCCTACAGTTTCTGTAAAAGATACATTCCTACAGTTTCTGTAAAAGATACATTCCTACAGTTTCTGTAAAAGCTATGAGATTTTGTGCACAGTACTTTATTTTGGCAACTCATCTTTTTTAAAACAACTTGTATTTGAACATACTGTGTAGAAATTGTTACAATTGTAATGACAGCCCCATGTGAAATTGATATGCCTACTGTTTTCAGAATATGACATGACGGAGATGTTACTCGGTCGTGACCGACACATTTCTGTCGCACATTAAAAGAAGCGTTTGTACCAACGCTGAATTTTGCAAGCTCTTATGATTTTGGTCCCGCATTCCCCTAAATGTGGAGAACACGATCGAAAAACTAACACTCTGGGTGTGATATGCTTATCAGATTTGCTGATTATGCAAAAAAAGTGAAGTTTCTCATGTGGCCCTTCAGGGACATATTCATGGTAAAAATACATTTTGCCATGATGCTTACACTTTAATAACTTGACTTTAACCTCAATGCCCTTTTTGGTTGGAAGCATTCAGTACTGTGTGTACTGCACCTGAGACAGGGTTTACGAGGTGAAACTGCTTTGTACTAACCAATAGAAGAAGCGAACACCACTCCAAAGCCAACAGCCAGGGGCCCGCCCATGTTGAGGAACTTCTCACTTGGGGCACACATGGCCACAGTGGACAGACCGCC